ACAGCCCAGTGGCACTGCAGACAATGAGGCAGGCAAGGAGGCTGAAGTTGCCATACGTAGGAGAAGCACGTTGCACAGCAGCAGCGGCAGCTTCCCCTACTGTGGAAGCCCCAGGGGCGGGGGGCTCAACACTCGACCTGCCCATTCCACCCCTTCCCCCAACACCCCACCCTTAACCCGCCTCTTCTCCCCCCACCTCCTCCCCCTTTACTCCCCATGCCGTGTCCTTGCTCCTCCCCCTCCCTCCCCTGCCTCCTAAACGCTGCAAACCATCTGATTCTCGTGGGCAGGAGGTGGGGGGAGCAGGGTGAAGGCGCTGATCTGTGCGGTCCACCGGCTGGAGTCGCTGGCAGGGCGTATTGGAGCTGATAGGGGGTCTGCTAGCTGTGGACAAAGCAGGCAGCCAAACGACGTTATAGCGGAGCATTGCACAACTTTAAATGAGCAGGTTCTGTAATGGAGCAGGAAAGTAAGTTCGAAACAATGTTAAGCGAGAGGACGTTAAGTGGAGAGTTACTGTACATAATCAAAAATATTGTATTAATATTTGCGATGAGAGCATGACTATTTCTAGTTGACTCATAGCTTTATTTAGCATCTTAAAGCTGAGCTCTATGTGCAGATAATAGGCATGCAAGAGGGATAGTTTTGTGAACTGCAGAAATCCATAGCATGCTGTGGTCTCCTCCTGAGCTCCTCTGGTCATCATGCCATCTCCATCAAGCACAATGAGTAAATCTATCCTTCCTACTTTGGGAAGTGACCTAAGAAGGGAAGGACATAGCATACCATGGTGATTGGCATGCTATAACTAGCTAGATAATCTGGAGTACTCTTACATGTCTTACAGGTTTTACATTCCACGTATTGGGGCCAGGACTATGAAGTGATTCTGAAACCAGGAATGACTGAGAAGATATCAGCTACAGCTGCAAACAATTAGTACGTTTCACCTGTATCTAACTTTCTGTTCCTTTGATTCCAAATTTGTTGCTAAGGCTGGTTGAAAATTTTTCTTGAGAAGTTTTTTTGATGGGAAATTGGATTTTCAATTCAACTATTTTTTCCATAGAATTATTTCCCCTGGAAATTATCAGCTTTCAATCAAAATACCAAACTCCCCTCCTCCCCAAAACATGGCTGTGGGACTCTGGGGATGTTCCAGAGCACTTCAGCAAGAGGAGAGACCATCACGCATCATGGGGGATGTAGTTCAGCCTGGGAGCCTGGCCTATGGAACAGATTGGTGGTGTGTGGCATGTGATGCAACCCCGTGGTATTTTGAAGCTGAAATATTAAGTTTTTTGCAAAAAGATTTTGGTCACCACAAACAAACCCCCTTTGTGGATCAGCTCTACGCAGTACCCTGCTTGCACTGATAACAGCAGGATGAAATATACCCATAACCTCATACTCTGTAACTCTGGTAAAAATTGCATCATTTAATAACACAGTAGGAAAGAGTAGGTCAAATTAATCCCCAGGGCACGAATTACACCGAGGGTGTCTTTGGTTCACTGAATGCCTTAATTAGGTGTTATGGCTCTCTGAGCTCAGGTATTCCCACTTGCTTCAGGAATCATGTCCCATAGATCACACATCTCAGTATAAAACTTTCTGAATGCTCCAAATTGGCAGTTTCTGTCGCTGGGGAAATGCCACCACATCTCTCTCTCTTCTCAGCAGGTACGTGCGATTGTCCTGAATTACAGTCACACACGCAGACATCATGGTGTTCAGCAGGTATTGAATTCAAGACCTCCAGCACTAAAAGCCTCAGCCCCAACTCTTACCTCTTCAGCTAAAGGAGTGACCTCCTTGCTTGGAAAAAATAGCCAATTACATAGTCACCTAAGCCAGTGATTTCCATTATGTCTCTGGGTTTTCATACAGGCTAAAGTAAATGCCAGAAAGCTTAATTAGCACAGTAAGCAAGATTTACCCCTAAACTGACAAGCGAAGCCACAGAGCTCCCCTTGCCCAAAGAGGGTAGAAAGATTGAGACTCTTTACTCTCACCCCTTCTTTAGCTAAGGAATAATCTCTTCAGCCTGATCCTCTCACAGCAGAGTCACAAGCCACTGTTTTCTCTTCGGATTAGTGAACAGGAGTGTTTGTGTGTGGGGCATGATTAACCTGCGTGTCATTGTATTTGCACAGCATGTGCATTTTATCGAATACCTGGAATGACCAGCTGTGAACATCTGGCTCTGTGGATTAAGCCCTTCCCTGAGCGGGTACTGATGTCCATTGAGAAACTTACCTCCATTTATCTTCACTTACTTCATTACAGAGAAGGGGCAGGTTTTCCACGCCGTCCACCTGCCCACATCTCTGTAGCTGTCTGAGCTGTATTCAGAGGAGATGGAAAAAGGAAATCACTCGGAGGTGACTGAGTTCATTCTCTCAGGACTGACAGATCGTCCGGAGCTGCAGGTCCTCCTGTTTGGGGTGTTCCTACTGATTTATGGTATCACCGTGGTGGGGAATGGGGGGATGATCTTGTTAATCATGATTGACCCCCAACTCCACACCCCCATGTACTTTTTCCTCAGTAATTTGTCTTTCTGTGACCTCTGCTATTCCTCGATAGTTTCCCCTAAGATGCTGCTGAATTTCTTAGCCAAGAGGAAAAGCATTTCTTACACTGCCTGTGCTGTGCAACTGTATCTCTCTATTGCTTTTGGAGATATTGAGTGCCTCTTGCTGGCTGTGATGGCGTATGACCGTTATGTGGCCATCTGTAACCCGCTGGTCTATACGGTCACTATGTCCAGGCAGCTTTGTAAACAGCTGGTGGCTGGGGTGTACGCTGTGGGGTTTGTGGATTCAATGATACACACGTGTTTTACATTTCGGCTGTCATTCTGCAGCTCCAACATCATGAATCATTTCTTCTGTGACATCCCCCCACTGTTGGCGCTCTCCTGTTCTGACACCAGCATCAATGAGATTGTGATATTTGTTTTTATGAGCTGCATAATAGTAAGCATCTTTGTGACTGTCCTCCTCTCCTATGTCTATATCATCTCCACCATCC